TACGCATACATGGATCTTGACGCTGACACGCTTCATCGCCTCTCTTTCCTGCAAAGGGTATTGGATTACTGAATCTGGAGGCTTCGTTACGCTGACACCAGGCTTGAGTGTTGGGACATGATTTGTTTGCGAAAGCTCTTGTGTACTTTGACACGGGATGCAGCATTCGTTCTACCGCGACGGGAGTCTACGTCGTCTACAAACGGCACCTTTAAGCGATAATACAGGCAGTACGCCGTAGTATATAATCTCACATAGTTCCCAATGATACTGTTATCCAGAAACGCAACACCCTCCTCATCGACGATGCATCCCACACACCCAACAGCAGTGCTTCTAGCATCCCTCCTCCCATCCCCCGTCTTCTCAACAACCCCCAAACACCACCCCTCCTCCTTTCATCCCAGCGCCATCATAACCCGAGACGTCGCCATCATCGGCGGTGGCTCCTCCGGCACCCACGCCGCAATCACCCTCAAAGACGCCAACAAAAGCGTCATCGTCGTCGAGATCAAGAACCGGCTAGGCGGCCACACAGAAACCTACAAAGACCCCGCAACCGGCCTCGCTCAAGACTACGGCGTACAAGTCTACCACAACGAAAGCACTGTCCTCGACTACTTCGCCCGCTTCGACATTCCCCTCGGACAACCACAATATGCCGGCAACGACGCAAACTACGACTTCAGCACCGGTCTCGCCGTCAACGTCAGTGCACCGAGTGTACAAGACCTCGGCGCCGGACTTCAGAAGTACGCAGCGTTCCTAGCCCAATTCCCCAAGCTAGAAAGCGGCATGTTCCTCCCTGACCCCGTCCCTGAAGACCTAACCATGCCGTTCGGCGACCTCGTTGCCAAAGTCGGTCTCGAAGCTCTGGTACAGATGATGTTCAGTACGAACCAGGGTATCGGGGATATACTCAGCGTGCCCGTGGTGGAGAATGCGCGTGTTAATGGGTTGGGTTTGGTCCAGCAACTCGCTGCGAATAGTCTTGTTGCCACAGCTCGCCGCAACAATAGCGAGTTGTACGGGAAAGCGCAGGCTGAGCTCCTTGATGCGGATAGCTTGTTGCTGTCTTCTGAGGTCGTGCGCTCGGTACGGAGGGAGAGTGGTGTGGAACTCGTTGTCAAGACACCCGATGGCGTCAAGTTGGTACGCGCGAAGAAACTCCTTGTCACCATTCCACCGCGTGTGGATCTGCTTGCGCGTTTCGATTTGCGGAGGCAGGAACGTGAAGTCTTTGGGAAACTTATCGATGTTGGGTATTATGCTGCTCTGGTCAAAAATACGGGTACACCTGACGACTTGGTCATTTACAATCGCGCGCCGGACACCCCGTACAACCTCGCTGCCCTGCCGGGTGTCTATACCATGGGGCCAACCGCTATTCCTGGTGTCAAAGCGATTTATTATGGTTCTCAATGGTCGAATGCGACATACCCACTTTCTGATGACTTTGTTAAAGGGGAGATGATCGCGGGTATCAAGCGATTGCAAACGGCAAATGCTGACAAATTCGAAGCAACAGAGCCAGAGTTCGTGGTGTTTACATCACATGCGCCGTTCTACACGCAAGCCGGTCCTGAGGATATATATGCTGGCATTTATGACGAGATGAACGCGCTACAGGGGGTGAGGAGCACGTATTGGAGCGGTGCGACGTTCCGAGCGCAAGATAGCAGCGCGCTCTGGAAGTTCAACAAGGAGATTGTGCTTCCTATGTTGATGGAGGGACTCTGAATATCGGGAGTGGATAGAAGTGATAGCATCTGAAACATCGATTTCTTCTCTGGATATATACAATGCTTGGTATGGAAAACGCGTCTACTGTCGAGCCTTGGCGACGGGTGTCCAGGGAGAGTACTTGGGCTTGACACTATCGTCTGTTAGTACCTGACCTGCCCATGTCGCAGTCTGGAACGTACGTGTTGTAAGGCTTGTATCCCGAGCGGGTCCACGTGAGAGTCGGCCTGTGCTCCTTTGGCTCCCAGACGCGGACCTGGCGCTGCAGAAGCGGGTCTGCGGCTGGTGACTTGTCGACCATGTATGACATCCAGGCGTGCCTGTGTAGAAAGTCAGATGTATGTTCTTCCCAAAGTCGTGTTTCGCGATTTTTGGTGCTGTAGCATACCATCCGGGTTCGATCTGAGAGCTGTTACAAACGTTAGTTTTGCTCCTTGTCTCCACGTTCGTTGCAACATACGGATCGAACTCATGGTCCTTGTAGTCGACCCAGCGGGTTCGGACTATGCCAGTCAGATATATGACTTCATCGTTGAGATCCGCGAATCTTACGAGGAAGCTCCTCCTCCAAGTTCTCGAAGTACTTATTGCCGTACTTGTCCTGGCCGATCAAGGTTCCGGCTTTAGTGTCACCTGTTCCCCATTAGCCCCTCCCTTAACATGGCGATTTATTTGTGTCCAAGCGTACCGATGTTCTAAGCGTGCGGGCGACTCGATCAGTCTATCTGCGATGTAAGGTGAGGGCGCGGGGATGCGAGCGTACCGCCATTTGGTGGCCATATTCCTGCGGACGTGTTAGCATTGCCATGTCAATTACTGCAGGCATTGAAGCTCACCTTAAGTCCAACTCGGCGCAGGTTGCGCAGCGTTCTCATGAGCGTCGACATGGCGGCGTTTGGTCAATTCAGCGTTCGTGATGCTTGTCGGATGTTGCTGCTTCGCGATTGACGATGCCAAGCACCGCTCTCACGCCTTTCCCAAGGCATGCTAGCGCGAGCGTGATCCTTGTCGCCCAACCCCAAAGTGCATCAAAACTTAAGGAGTCGAAGCACATACCAGCATCCGGCGTGATAGCGAGTGGCCAACATGATAATAAGAAGCTTATTACGCGCCCAAGCACCGAAGATCGCGGGGAGGAGAACTTTTCGCATCCCACCTCGGACATTCAGGACAACGCGAAGATATTCGACCTCGAGTGCTGAGATGGCTTCACCTGTGCCTCAGAGCCAAGCGTCTATGCTTGCCACGATAACGACAGATTTGGATAAGATTGCGCCGCGATTTGAGATTCAGCCAGATCAGATTGAGATTCTTCAGACGCCTGCTGAGTTCTATCAAACATTGAAGGTAGGTCGGTCTTTGTTGTTGTCATTTTCCTACTCACTCTTCTGTTCTGTTTCTCTGTTGGAATGTTCAACTCTTACAAGACAACATTCATCTCATGTTTCAATCAGCGTGCTTCTGTACTATCTGTCATTCTGTCAAGAGCCACACTACTCTCCCATGCCTATTTACTTCTGCCCTTGTACCGTATCTGCGAACTCCATGTCAACACTCCATCCCCAATGAACGGCTAGAGGGACAGAGATGCTGTGAGCAAGCTTATTCGTGGGGATGAAACCTCGTACTAACGGAGTCAGGACAAAATATCCAAAGCTCAATACCGGGTCTATCTATCTACACTCTACATCGGCAAGACCGAACATGAACTCATCTCAACTATTCGAGATGCTCTCCAACGTAACCCCAATCTCAAGGTCTCTTTCCTCACCGACGCTCTTCGCGGAACCAGAGAAACACCAAACGCTTCAACTGCCTCTCTTATGACACCTCTCATCTCAGAATTCGGATCAGATCGCGTAGAAGTACGCATGTACCATACGCCCAACCTAACCGGTCTGCGAAAGAAGTACATCCCAAAACGCATCAACGAAGGCTGGGGTCTCCAGCATATGAAGTTGTACGGCGTTGATGATGAGATCATCATGTCCGGAGCAAACCTGAGTGAAGATTACTTCACGAATCGACAGGATCGGTACCACTTGTTCAAGTCAAAAGACCTGACAGACTACTTTAAGAGGATACACGACGGCGTCGCAAAGTTAAGCTTCGACATACAGCCAAGCACCCAAGAAGGAAGCGGAGGCTACACCATGGCCTGGCCAACAACCAACGCCGCGCCCTCACCACTAGACTCCCCCTCGAACTACAAATCCGCCGCGGAGAAGCACCTCGCCCACCTCCTCCTACCATCCAACTCCCCAACCACCACATCTCCCTCACCCTCCACTTCAAAAACAACAATCTACCCCATCCTCTCCCTCGTCCCCCTCCTCCCCTCCTCAACCGAACTCCCCGCTCTAACAAAAATCCTAACCCACCTCACCACACCCCCCTTACAAAACTCGTCCTGGACCTTCACAGCCGGCTACTTCAACATGACGCCCTCCTTCCGCCGCCTCCTCCTCTCCACCCGCCCGGCCTCCGGCACAGTGCTAACCGCCCACCCCCACGCCAACGGCTTCTACGGCTCCAAAGGCGTAAGCGGCCTCCTCCCAGCCGCATACACACACCTCGCGAAATCCTTCCTGCGCAAAGTAAAACACGAAGGCCTCAGCGAGAGCATCGTGCTCAAAGAGTGGAAGAAGGGTATGGTGGGCCAGGAAGGCGGGTGGACGTATCATGCCAAGGGGCTGTGGGTTACGTTTCCCTCTGCCAATGGAGTAGGGGAGAAGGAAGATCCCAGCTTAACGGTTGTTGGGAGTAGCAATTATACGAAGAGGGCGTATGAGTTGGATCTTGAGGCTAATGTTGTTATTGCGACGGAGGATCCCGGGTTGAGGAAGAGGTTGGGGGAGGAGGTTAGGTGGTTGGGGGAACATGCGAGGGAGGTGGGTGAGAAGGAGTTTGAGAGGCCGGAGAGGAAGGTTGGGATGGATGTTAGGATGGCGATGTGGGCTGTTAGGGTATTGGGTGGTGCTTTGTGAGGAGGGTTAAGCATTGTGTATACCACTATGTATCAGAAATTGCGATGTTTTGTGCAGAGCATGACCAGAGGACGTAGCACTTGGGTGATTGAACGTTTTACTTTATTAACATTAGGAGGAGCTATGGAAGAAGTGTGATGGGTATATATGCAGAAGTCAAGAAGGAAACAAATGGACATTCAGCTTGCGCTGCCAAATTCTTCGCATCTTGTACCACGACTCCAAAATATTAGACCAACGAGATGCCTTCTTAAATGCGACCTCTCTAGCTCATTCAGGTGTAGACCAGCAATTCCGGGTTGCTCGCCAGACCACCAAGCCCCGATCGCCGACGACACGGCTGATGGTATTCCAGATGCCGTCGTCGGCAAAGTCCATGTCATCGAGGTTCAGGTGCTGTCGATAGCTCCAGACTTCCTCTAATGAGACGTCTTTTGAGTTGTTTGGGCTTTGATATGGTATCAAAGCATGTGCTGATCGTGGCGCTACCACGTACACAGAGCCACGGTCGGCTTTTGGTGGCTTTCGTGTCCGACAAGGCGGTAGTGCTTCCTTAACCTTTTCGATCATCTGTTCGGCTGGACAGCCCATCAGATCGACGGTCTTCAGCTCCTCGTTCTTGCCGTTCAGCAGCCACGTTGGCGCGCTGTACGTCTTCCACCAGAACGCATTAGAAACTGTCTCGTTTGTCTTGGCAATGTTCATCTGAACTGGGACGATGCCACCCTGGTGGTATACGCCCATCAGGATACCCAGGGCAACGTTGAAAACTACCCAAGTAACGATCCAGCTCTTTCGAATGCGCGGAGTCGGTAGGCGTATTGAGGAGAGTATTAATGGTACGGCGGGAAGTAAGAATCGTGCTTCTTGGTGTGGGAAGATGCTGAGAAGTGCGACGCCAGATATAGCTGAAAGGAGAATCATAGAAATGTGCGCCCTGCGCAAAAAGAACAGAAGCGGTGCCGCCGGACCGAGAAGTTGAGGGAGATTGACGAGGAAATGTTGGTATCGTGGATGTATGCCATGCTGAGCAAGGTTCGCGGAATCCGAGTTGTAACGGAAATTATTGAAAGGTGTGATGACGGCGCCGCTGATGAGTTTGGAAAAGGTAAATTCGCCGGGGGTATAAAACGCCGTGTCTACGCAGATAGCAAGGAAAGCTGTGAAGAGAGCGAACGTTGCAAGGAAGGCCAAAGAGAATGGTCTGTGGCTGTCAGTGAAGGTCAGAAGACGAGAGGGGCTGACTTACTTGCGCTTGAAGTGGGGTAGCAAAGTCGTCGCAGGAAGAAGCAGGAATGCTGGAAAGGTGATGCGATTAAAGATGCCTACGACGACCATGAAGCCGAGGATGGACGAGGCCAGGATGCCAGAGCGCTTCTGCACCTTGCGTTAGCCGCATATCCTAGATCGGCGAGCGGACCGAAACAACTCACCTTATCGTCCGTTATCCTCTGGATCAAGACCAGGCTCCAGAGCACCAGCAGCGTCTCGATGCTGTTGGAGAAGGTATGTGTCTGGAACGTCCAGGTCACATACGACGATGCGACGAGCATGACGGCAACACGACGCGCGCGCGGCGAAGCGACCAGCTCGTGGATAGCCCAGTCCTCCATCACGACACTCAGCGTCAACATGAGTACGCGCAGCGCCCAGTAGACGACCGACGGCGAGACGTCATATCCGAAGCCCTCCCATAGCCAGCGCAAGATGTACATGGGCCAGCCGTATGCGAGCCATAGCGGGAACGTGCTGCGGATGGGGTTCTCGGAGGTGAACTCCCAGGTTTCGTGGACGGGGTAGGAGAAGACACGCCCTGGATACAAGTCAGTCGTGGCCACGGGCGCATACGCAGACAGTGTCGCGACATACCGGCAATGACCTCGGGGCCCTGGAAGTTCTCGTCCGGGTGCAGATAGCTCGGCGATAGTGCAAAGTAGATGCGCACCAGGATCAGCAGGAAATAGACACGCCGCCACATGATGTCGAAAGTCGAGATGTGCCGTTTGGGGGTTTGGCGGGGTTGAGCAGGCGCATATCTGTCCGCTGTGGTGTTTGTTTTCGCAAAGTGAGGCCAACAAATGTTTTAGTGGCCTACGTCAATCAATCACCAGTTGCACGCGGATAGGGGGGCCGGTTGCAAGAGCGAATGGTGAGTTATGCTTTGCGACTCGTGCACTGTGATGATCTGCGAACTACATGGCGAGCAGAAGCATGGCTGATATATCGGCCGACTATCATGCGGCCTGATCAGATGCGATGTGGCAGCAACCGATGGTGCATCGGACTTGTCCACGGCTGTCTAGGCTGCCTTTGCATGCGGATCCGTTGCAGGCAGAAAGGTCACGTGGCGCAACATCAGTGGATCAGGTACCCAAGTACCCCTTCAAGGATACGTGTAGATGGGGTCGAAGTTGATGCGGCAGATCTGATGTTGCGATTCTGGTGTGAGCAATACTGAAACGTATCAAGTAGCCTTTTGAGTCACCGCGCATTTGGCCCGCTGGCGACTCTGGCTGGTCCTTGCACCCTTACCCAGACGTTTGTCGCCGGGGACTCAACGTACATCTCTTCTAATGACAGGTATCTAGAACGGGTCGTGTTAGCCCCAGGCATCATCCTCTGTGAGTCCGAATCCACGTCGTATTCTGGTAACTTCTGCCGGCTGTGTGCGGCGTGGAGTCATCCTCCGTGCCATACGCGGGGGCTCGCCCAAAGTTCAAGTGAGCGCAAACACGGCACAAGCTGCTGGCCCACAAACGAGAGGGCAGCAATTCACAATGTCTTTTTTGAATCAGCAAGCAGCAAAGTGAAGCCGTGTAACAAAGCTGGTTCAAAGCACATACAACCTGCGTTCTCCCGTCACCACAGCGTCCCTTTGATGATTGCAGCCTTGCGCCTTGCCCCATCGAGCGAGCTTGGCGCCTGAGCTTAAACAGCGAGGCGGAGTTGGACCGTGGTTGCCTCTCTCACCCTCACAGCGCGCAAACGTGGAAGCAAAACGCCTGCGCCTATATAATCACTGCCCACCCGAGCCCCAGACGCTCTTCCCACACACATTCTCCATCAACTCTCAACGCAACGGCCACTTAACCCTGCCGCTCAACTCCATCCACAGCTTACCCCACTTCTACAACCACCTCCAACACCTTACCTTAAGCTATCGCAATGGCTACCACGAACTCTGAGGGAGTCAAGATGATCAACATTACCACCTCCGATGGCATCCAGATGGACGTCGAGCGCCCCGTCGCCGAGCGCTCCATCCTGATCAAGAACTTGCTCGAGGATCTTGGTGGTGAATCCTCCGAGTCCATTCCCATCCCCAACGTACGTACTCACCTTCCCACCTCCACCAAGAACAGCCACTAACATGTCGCAGGTCAACGAGGCCGTCATGAAGAAGGTCATCGAGTGGTGCGGCCACCACAAGAACGACCCGCCAGCCACCCAAGACGACGACTCCGACTCGCGCAAGAAGAGCACCGACATCGACGAGTGGGACCAGAAATTCATGCAGGTCGACCAGGAGATGCTCTTCGAGATCATCCTCGCCGCCAACTACCTCGACATCAAGGCTCTTCTCGACGTCGGTTGCAAGACCGTCGCCAACATGATCAAGGGCAAGTCCCCCGACGAGATCCGCAAGACGTTCAACATCCAGAACGACTTCACCCCCGAGGAGGAGGAGCAGATCCGCCGCGAGAACGAGTGGGCCGAGGACCGCTAAATGCGCGCACCTGGGTACGCTTGACCTCTTTGCCTCCGTATCGCATCGGTCAACGGACCGCGGACAAATACGGACCGGCCGGTGCATATGTGGAAGGGTTTCGTCTCCGGCGTAGGGGAGTTCATGGTTGTGGTTATTTTTCAAAGCGCATGATGCTGAGACTGTCCTTGTATTGGGCACCAGCAGGTTATGGATATTACGGTGGCTTACTGTACGTTGCATTCGAGACGCCCGTTTGTGACCTATTGCAGGTAGCTCAATCAAAACGTTAAATCACTTCTCCCCATCTTTTACCTTTTGCGACTCCGCATGTAACCTCGGCTTTCCGTATGACGTGATCTGCAAGTTGTGGAAGTAGGTTTCGCAACTACCAGTCAGCACTCGCTCGGCTCTTCTATGTCACCGGGATACATCGCGATTTAATATAATTTGAAGTTGAAGAAGATTCATGTTGAACTGATGGCCATTCCGAGTTGAGCTTATTCTTCTATACATTTTCATAACCCATGCCCGAGCTAAATATCCAAAACGCCAATTTCAACTGCAGACGCCTTCAGTAGGCGTCTCTCGCTACAAGGTCGCACATTTACCACCCCCTCTTCGCGAGCTTCTCGTCCTCGCCCATGCTACCACAGTTGATACCAACCATAGCCTCACCCAAATCCATGCTAACCTCCATAAGCACCTTGGGGTCCTTGTAATGCGTAACCGCCTGCACAATAGCCTTAGCCCTCTTCGCCGCATCCCCAGACTTGAAGATACCAGAGCCAACGAATACACCATCACAGCCCAACTGCATCATCAACGCGGCATCAGCGGGCGTCGCAACACCGCCCGCCGCAAAGTTGACAACAGGCAGACGGCCCAGCTTAGCCGTCTCCTTGAGCAGCGCGTAGTCGACCTGGAGCTCCTTTGCGTACGAGTACAGTTCCTCGTCCGACATGCTCTTTGCGCGCGCAATCTCGCTGTTTACAGTGCGCATGTGGCGCACGGCTTCGATGACGTCGCCCGTGCCGGCTTCGCCTTTTGTTCGGATCATGGCTGCGCCTTCGGAGATGCGGCGGAGGGCTTCGCCGAGGCCACGGCAGCCGCACACGAAGGGGATGCGGAAGGGGTGCTTGGAGACGTGGTGGATGGCGTCGGCGGGGGTCAGGACTTCGGATTCGTCAATGTAATCTACGCCTAGGGCTTCGAGGATCTGGGGTGTTGGTGTTAGCAGGCATCTTGTGGGTTTGGGGGAGGTGCTGGATGTACCTGGCATTCGACGAAATGGCCAATTCGCGCCTTGGCCATGACGGGGATGGTTACTGTGTCCATGATCTCCTTGATCATCTTGGGGTCGCTCATGCGGGCTACGCCACCCTGGGATCGAATGTCGGCGGGGACGCGCTCCAGGGCCATGACGGCTGATGCACCGGCTTCTTCTGCTATCCGTGCCTGTGGGGAGACATTGGTTAGCAATTGGTCGCGTTACCCAAAGCACCGCGTAGTGAGCTTGGAGAAGACGAAACTTACTTGCTCGGCGTTAACAACGTCCATAATGACTCCGCCCTTCAACATGCGTGCCAGACCGGCCTTGACGGCAAAGTTGTTCTCGCCATCCTGTGCACCGTGGCCGTTTGTGGTGGGGAGTTCAGTTGCCATTGTGAAGTATCGTGAGTTTTGATCGGAGGAAATCGAATAGATGTCGGAGGTAAGGTAAGGTATGAGTAAAGTAAGATCGGGTCAATTAGTAGTGTAATAGAGCAAGGTACTTTCACAGACGATGAGGTATTAAAGTCTAAGGGGAGGAAAATAAGGTAAGATCGTGAGTCAAAGTCGTCCGCGATGTATTACCTGTACATGTACCCGCGGAATCGCAATATTTTTTTGCCTTTGTAAGGTCCCTCCATCCCGCCTTCGCAGCTCGGAGGTTGCCCCGCCATGTTCCGCGGCGGCGTAGGGACATCTAGACCCCGCTATGCGCCCTTTGACACACGCGATGCATATGCGCCAATCAGCCGTCGGGAAAGTGCGATCCATGGCCGTGAATTGCCGTCGGCTTAGTCAGAGGATTTGAATGGTTTCATTTGGCTATGTAGTGCTGTCGCTGAGGATGGTACAAGCTGTCCCGTCATCTGATGTGATTTCGGGCCGAGTGGGGCAGTAGCCGGCCCTGGACCCTGATAGACGGTGGAAACGCCAGGCTCCATGCATGTCGCCGTATACACTACTAACGCTGTAAGTATGCCAATGCCGTGCCAATACCGAAGACTACCTTGCGATGCATAAAAGCGCTATTCAGAATGCTGGCACCCTAGTTCTCTAGTACGGTGCTGTCTCCCGCTTCAACCACTCCAACGTCAAAGAGTCATTCTCGAAGAATTTGCTCGTCTTCTCATAGACCTCCTTGTGGTATTCGTTGATGAAGCTCTTCTCGTCTTCTGTAAGCAAGCTCATGTCGACAAGGTTCCTGCAGTGTGGAGTCATCGTAACATGCTCGAATCCCAAGAATGGCTTGTCACCGAACTTGTGCTTCGTCTCGACTTCTCGCACCATGACCATGTTCTCGATGCGGATACCGAACTTGCCATCTTCGTAGTATCCAGGCTCGTCAGATACCACATTCCCTACTGCCAAGGAGACTTCAGAATATTGAACCCTAGTGCCAATTCCGATAGGACCCTCGTGTACGTTGAGGAACGAGCCCACGCCGTGTCCAGTGCCGTGACGGTAGTCGAGACCTTCCTGCCATAGGAACTGGCGAGCCAGACTATCTAATGCGAAGCCTGTCGTACCCTTGGGGAACCTGACGCGCTCGAGAGCCATGTTGCCCTTGAGCACAAGCGTATATGCGGTACGTTCCATCTCAGTCGGCTCCGTGAAATGCATGGTCCTCGTTGTGTCTGTAGTACCATCTCGATATTGCGCTCCAGAATCGCAGAGGTATATAGCTTTGGGTTCGATGACCGAGCACTCACCCTTCTCCGGCTTGTAGTGGATAACAGCTGCGTTCGGCCCCGTCGATGAGATGGTGTCGAAAGAAAGACCCATGAACATATCGTGCTTCTTACGAATCTCCTCGAGCTTGTCGGCACCGTCAACTTCATCGAGCGTGGCCTTCTTGTTGATGAGTTGGTCCTCCAGCCAAGCGAAGTACTCGCTCAGCGCAGCCCCATCACGGATGTGGCATTGACGCATACCCTCCAGTTCGACTTCATTCTTGACTGCCTTTGCATCTCCAACCGGACTACGGGTTTCTTCGACCTTGTCGTCCCCGCCAAGGGCCTTGTTCAGGGCCCACGATGCTCGGTTGGAAGTCAGGAACTTCTTCTGTATCTCGGTCTTATCCATGGCCTCGAACAGCTCCTTGCTCAGCAATGTGACATCTCCAAATATAGCCTCGTATGGTCGGATCGTAACCTTGTCGCCCAAGTGCTTCTTAACATCATCGGGGAGCTTGCTTTCGTCGACATATAGGGTAGCTGCGGTGGACGTGACGACGGCGTAGGAGAAGAATACGGGGTTGTAGGGAATGCTACATGTTGTCAGTGACGTACTCTGATCGGGAAAGAATGCTCATACTCGCTGCCGCGGAGGTTGAATAGCCATGCGACCTCGTCGAGCATGGATACGACGAAGCCCAGGCTCTTCCGCTTCTCAAGTTCCTTGCGCAGGTCCTCAATCTTGTCTTCGAAGCTCTTTCCAGAGTATTTCTCAGGCTGCACAATGACCTTCTCACTCGGTCGGGCTGGCCTTTTGTCTCCCCATACGAGGTCGATCAGGTTCTCGTCGATGGCCTTGTACTCGCCGCCCTTCTTCTTGATCTTATCGGCAAGCTTGCGAGCGTCTGCTGCAGTGACAACGCTGGGATCTACACCGACGACCTTGCCTCCCTCGGCCTGGTCTGCGGTCCACTCCTGGATGGTAGGTACATCCTGTATGCCTTGCTTCAGGAGCTCCCAGTTGCTGTCCAGCTGCTTCTCGGCCTGGTTGAAGTAGCGTCCGTCGGTGGAGAGGGCGGCCTTGTCGTGGGTGACGACTGCATAGCCAGCGGAGCCAGTAAAGCCACTGATGTACTCTGAGTGGTGTCAATGGGTGGGATGCGATAGGTAGCGGGGGCCTGACCTCGTCGCGCGTCACATGGGGCGATGTACTCGCTCTGGTGGCTGTCTTCAGACGGGACCACTACTATGCGTCAGCTATATGTCATCACATGTCTGCACGGGCGCGCCTACTGTAGATGTCGACATTGCGCTCCTTCATGAGCTTGCGGAGGTCCGCCAGCCGCTGGGTCGTGTCTACCTTGGACATGTCGATGGCACGCAGGGCAGCAGAAGCGTGGAAGGGTCTGACTCGGAAAGATGGCGTCCTTGCGGCTACATATGCAGCAGCTGTCGCGTGGGAGCGCCCTAGAAAACGCGGGAGGAGCATATAGGGTATGCCACGGTCTCGCGCCTACGATCGGGACATGCATAACACCCCGCCGTGCCCGCGCACAGCACAGCGACAACGCCGCAGCCAGTCCCGCACTAAGCGCAATCGCCAGGGCTCCAATCAAGCCTTGCCAAGCGCAAGAGCCCTTACTCCCAGGCACCGTAGGGAGGCGCATCTGTATTTATTGCAACACCAGGTCCCCGACGCTGGACAGTCACTAACATGAGCTTTCGTCGCCGTAGTCTGCTTCCGATTTTGCCCCACCATACGCGCAGGTAGAGGCGACCTCGCGCAGCCTCACCCAACTCCCGGCCCTGCACCTTTATATTTCGGCACGGCCTAGAACCGCCATCCCTAACAATCTCGAAATACGACGGGCTATGTCTATCGTCTAGGGGGCCAATCGCAGTCACCATCGCACTCGATTTTGTGTACCCTCTTTTCGCGCCTTCCACATCTCACGTCGCACCTTCCTGCTTTCGGTAACGTCTGACCTGGTTCCTGGAACCCTGACATCTGGCAGCAAGACTGACAGCAGTCTGTAGTGCAAAGCCTCTTGAGAAAGCTCAGCATGGCGAGCAACGGGGCCTTTCCTCTGCCTTACGAGGAGATTGAACGCCTAGTAAAGTCCATCTACGAACCCGGCCAAGCAAAGAAGATCGCCGAAACCGAGGCCACCCTTCGCGTTCTTCAACGCTCTCCCCAAGGCTGGGAAATTGCAGATGCTCTTTTGAAGAGCGACAACGAGCAGGTTCGCTTCTTCGGCGCCCTGACTCTCACCGTTAAGCTCAACGCCGACTCGGCTGAACTAAGCGAAGAAGAGTCCGAGCAACTGCTTTCAACACTTATCCATCATCTTGTCTCACGGCCTAGCTCATCCATCGCCACCCGGAAAGTCAGCTCTACCTTGGCACAGTACTTCTCAAAGCCCATTTCCGTATGGACCCACTGCATCAGGAGTCTTGCCGCATCGTTTGCCGCCCAGCGTCCAGTCCTAGACGAGGCTTTGAAAGAACATCCTTCAACATGGGATCTCCTTCCGCAATTCTCCGATGAGCAACTTCTAGTTATGCTTGACTTTGCCATGAGCTTAGCAGATGAAGCCAAGAAGCCGTCTAACACCCCAGACCGGAAGTCACAAGAGCGGATGGTAGCAAACGTAGAGAGCGTTGAAATTCTTCTCCACGTTTCATTCGGTCGTGGCATTAAATGGCTGTCAATCTCCATCGACGACCCCAACTACGCACAATCAGTGCAGCAAGGCGAGAAGATTTGCATCGCCGCTCTCAAGTGCTTTACCGGATGGATCTTCTACGCCCAATCCGAGTTCAAAGACGACCTCGAGAAGCTCCAACATCTCCGGTCAGTGAATGAGCTCGCACTGACGTGTCTGGAATATCATGTTGAAGATGCCATGGAACTAGTAGCTGAGATCCTTGAAAACTACCCTACTTTCTTCGAAGCAAAACATCAAGAAATGCTCTGGTCAGCAATCTCAGGTCCATGGGGCATGGAGATACTCAATAACTCCGACGCCGAAACCGTTTCTCTCGCCCGGATCATTGTCGCCTACGGACAGATTCTGCTTGAAACCAAGGTTATCTACACGCAGCCAGAAAGCACACATCATCAGCAGGTCATTTCCTTCTTGCATAATCTTCTCAAATACCCAGACCCGGTAGGCGCTGAAGACGAGATTGCACCTGTGGTGCTCGACTTCTGGAGCAATTATGTCAGCGCTATCGCCGAAGAAACTTTCTTGTATGCCGCTGGAGAGCAAGTGCCCGACTGGATGAATACTGCAAAGACCAATGTTCTCCAAGCAGTTTCCGAGCTCGTACAGAAGATTATCTATCCATCTGCTGACGTCACTGAATCATGGGATTCGGACGCAAGGAAGACGTTCAAGGTCTTCCGCATTGACGTCCGAGATATCATCATGGAGGCATACGACCCGTTACGTGACGTGCTCACTGACCAGTTTGTCGATTTCGCCTTACGCGGACTAGGTGCGGGTGACTGGTTAGAGCTCGAGACTGGACTGTTTGGTCTGATCGCCATCGCCGACGCTCTAACTCACAATTCCGACAATCGTCTAACCCGACTGTTCGAGCAACCATTGTTCGCAACCATATCCAGCACTCCTGGTGTGCCGGCTATCACCCGAAGGACCGCTGTGGAACTTGTCGCCGCCTTGAATCACTTCTTCCTTCGAAACCCGCAGTTCCTCCCTCAAGTTCTTCCATTTCTGCTCACAGCTCTTGCTCAGCCAGCTATCGCTCACGGCGCTGCCAAGTCTTTTGCTTCACTTTGCTCCGAGTGCCGGAAGTCCTTGATAGGAGAGCTGCCTTCATTCTTCCAAATGTACGAACAGTTCCTAACGTATGCCACTGCTGAGGAGTTCACCAAGAGTATGGTCTTGAAGGGAATCGCCGCCATAGTACAAGCTCAAGATACAGAAGAGAAGCAGTTTGAGGGCGTACGGCAGCTCTTCCAATACATCACACGCGACGCCATGCAGTCAATCAACATCACCAAAGAAGGAGGCGATGCAGAAGAAGGCCAAGTGCTAGCCCTGACTACTTTGAAGTGTCTTGCAAGCGTTGGAAAGGCAATGCAAGCATCGGACGAAGAAGTAGTGGACTTAGAATCCGACAAGGAGCCTTCAGTGTTCTGGTTGCAAGGTCCAGGCAAAGAGATCCAGAACCAGGTCATAAATCTTGTCAATTATATGACTCAGGTGTTTCCTGGAAACGACGAGATCATCGAAGCGGCGTGCTGTGTTCTCCGCACAGGTTTTAAGGAAACCGTGTCGGGTCCATTCGTACTACCTCATTCTGCTGCGATCGACTTCATTACGAAAACCACTGTGCAGACACCGAGACTGCCATTTGTCTTGGAGACAGCATGCTGCTGGATCTCATCGCATAAGCATCATCAACCGGAAGGCTTCCAGGCTCAGGCCCAGCGATTACTCCAACACGACCTTAGCATCATGCGGGCACTGCAGCATCCACGCAACGACCCGGAAATCGCTGTCGGTTGTATAGAACTGGTCCAGAACTTTATCAACACTGATCCGCGTATCATGACTCAAGAATCACCTGAGAATCTGTCCGGCATGTTCGGCTTCACCGTCGAGTCCATCAAGTCGCCTGAGGTCCTGCCAAAACGCGCGGCTGCTAAGCTGTGGAAAGACATTTTCGAGCTGGCAGGCAATACAAATAGCCCTCACCAGGCTACAACGCAGGAGATCGTGGCGCACTTCGGTCCGACAGTGACGCTTGCACTTATGGCCAACGTATGCGGAGAGGTGGACTTTACGAGTTTAGAGCACATTGTCGCACCTCTGCGAGCTCTAATTCGAGCCGACAAGAACTCTAGGGCATACATCACAAGTGCGCTGGCAGAGCAGCCGCTTCTACAGCGGTTCCAGCAGGATCAGGGTGTTCAAGATATGGTGCGCAAGCTCATCGAGAGCATGACCAGGTAAGTTTAGCTCGTGAATTGGATTTCTGTATCTTGGTACTGACATACACACAGAAACGCAAGAAATGGCGCGGCCTTCAAAGACAGCGTGAAAGCTTTCTGGCAGACGTGCAAGCAACTGCAAATGCAACTACAGCCCCAGACAATGAACCCAGCACATCGATTCGCCCATGGATTCCCACAGCCCAATGCCTACTGAAAGAATACACATCGTCCAGCAACTTAAAACTCGGCAAATGCGGCCATTGCGAAGGTTAGGCCGAAAGACAACTTGAAGGCAACGTTGTCGCGTACTAGTGATCGGACATTCATCGACTTTACCCGGCGCTCCAGGAATGAGTACGGAATGACGTGGATACCTCGCGACTCGATGAACTATCTTCTGTCAGTTTCATCTTCTTCGAGATCACAAGCATAACGATCGGTAGCGTGTCTTGCATATACCACATAGATATCCCCAGATGCATGCGGCGTACCCATCCATGTATCCTAGATTCCAATTGAAACTTCACAAATAAAGCTGTCGACTTACCTGCAAAGCAAAGATCCCCAGCCCAATCAGTACAGCCAATGGCTTGCTGAACACGCTGATTCCTAGTCCTCCAATCACACCCAGAATGCTTCCCATGCTAATTTGACGAACCGCCTGTGGATTCATGGCACCTGATTGAGTGATGACTGGTGTTCTCGCTTCATTTGTGTAGTTGTTTGTGAGGTCATTTTTGATCTTGGTGATTGGATCCGGACCATCGCATCGTATGCGCTGCGCATTTCGGAACTGATACGCCAGTAAAGGCGTCGACAAGATGAGTGGCGTGCTGAGCATAAAGCCCCTACGAAGACCAGGAAGTAAGAAGGACATATTGGTCGCCGGAGATGATGAGCTCGGAGTGTGCGGAAGGTGTTGCTGCTGGAGGTGTGCAGAGAGCTGCTTTTCGAAAGTTCGGTCGGATCTCGGGAAATGCGTGGCTGAGCGGATGCAACGGATCGGGAGAAAGGTGTATCGAATTGGGATACACACAGGTAGACTCGTCCTTGCTAAGCCAGTAAGTCCCAATGGCGTTGGAGACATGAATGCTTGCTCGGAGCAAGTGCTGACAATAAGGAAGCTCTCATCCGAGGTAGTGATGTCATTGGCTCCATGGCGTTCCCCACTAAGGCCTTTGGGGTTAGAGCTCGGACCCTGAGTTCTGAGAGCCTCAAACGTAACGTCGCGTCTTGCGACACCATGTTGGACGCGTCAAATTCCCCATCTGGCATTGGACTTGCTCGTCATGCTATGAGCGCGTCCTGAACTTTTAATCAACTAATACGCACATTGACAGGTCATCATGGCGCTTCGAACGGTTCTTCTCGCGGTTGCCAACCTCCTCATCCCGGTCGCGATACTGGTCTTCGCGACAGGCTTCTTCCCGTACAAACCTTTTATGCCCGGATTAGCGGAGTATGAAGAGCTTGCGTGGTCTGAGAAGATGGGAGAGGATTGGCAGAAGCCACCCGCGGCACCGTTTGACAAGCTCATCTTCATGGTTGTTGATGCGCTGAGGAGCGACTTCGCGTACGGAGAGGAAAGCGGCATGACTTTCGTGCAGAGGTATGGCACTCCTTGAACAATTGCGCACGCGCAATTGAACTGACTGTTACCTAGTCTGATACGAGACGGAACCGCGCTCCCGTTCACAGCTCACGCTACCTCTCCCACGATCACCATGCCCCGCGTCAAAGCCATAACGACAGGCTCCATACCCTCATTCGTAGACGTAATCCTAAACTTCGCCGAATCAGACACGACGTCCACCCTTGCGACACAAGACACGTGGCTCGCGCAGATCAAGGCGAAGGACTATGATAATGGGAAAGGAAAGCTGATCATGTACGGCGATGACACCTGGCTGAAGCTCTTTCCGAACGTGTTTGAGCGCGCCGATGGCACAAGCAGCTTCTTTGTATCGGTCAGTCATAAGCTCTCCGCTGTATGTAGGAGTAATAGATTGTTGATTCTCAAGTGCAGGATTTCACGGAGGTTGACAATAATGTGACGAGGCATGTTCCTAATGAGTTGCTGAACAGTGACTGGAATGCTATGATTATGCATTATCTGGGCTTGGATCATATTGGGCATAAGGCTGGTCCTAAGAGGTGCACTGTTCTGGTCCCTCACTTGAGTAGCGGCACAATGCTAATCTATCTACAGTCCTAACATGGTCCCTAAGCAAGTCGAGATGGATGGTATCGTTCGCGACATCTACGCAGCAATCGAGAACGAAGACCACCTCTCCAACACTCTCCTCGTACTCTGCGGCGATCACGGCATGAACGATGGCGGCAACCATGGTGGCTCATCGCCAGGCGAGACCTCTCCCGCACTCGTCTTCATGAGCCCAAAGCTCAGCAAGGTCACTGAAGCGGCTGACAAGCGGAGTCCCATCAAACCGAAGAACGAAGGAGAGTTCGAGTACTACCGGTTGGTTGAACAGAGCGACATTGCCCCGACACTTGCAGGCCTGCTTGGATTTCCTGTCCCACAGAACAATCTCGGTGTCTTCCTGAAGGAGTTCCTTGGATTCTGGGATAATCCGTCAGACCGCATGCAACTTCTCTACCGCAATGCTAAGCAGATGAAGAAGATCGTTGAAGCCAAGTACACCAGCCTACGGTTCGATGAGCAGCCGTTGACGGAGGATGATCTGGGGTTTGCATGCTTCAAATCCGGGGAAAGTCGCTCGCACCTATCTGACGGCCACTTGCTAGCATGCCTCTGGCAATCGGCTGTCGGTGCGATCAGCGGTGGTGCCGACTTCCAAGAAAACGTCTACGAATTCATGCACGAAGCCCAGGAGATGATGTCCAGCACAGCCTCAAACTACAATGTCACTCGCCTCTTCCTCGGAACCGGTCTAGCTTTCCTCATCTGCGCGCTGAGCTATTCCACACTCCCTGCTTTCCGACCTGCCACGCCAGCTGGCATCTACTACGGCTTCGCCCTCGTACTGTACGCTGTCCTCATGTTCGCATCCTCATACGTGGAAGAAGAGCACAACTTCTGGTACTGGGCCACTTCCGGCTGGTTCCTATGCCTCTTCTTCAACAACATGCGGAAGGAATGGTACAACAATTGGATCTTCCATCCTGCCATCATGGCACTGGCCATACACAGGATTGTCAGACGATGGAATCAGACTGGGCAGAAGTACGCTGGTGCTAATGACATCGTCAATAGCGGCCTCTTCCACGGTAACTCGTCCGTTATACTCTGGATTCTCATCGGCGCTACATACATGGATGTCACCATCCGCATAGCCAGACATGTTGCGCGTTCTATTGCGACCTTCGACGGCGAACAGAAGATGCACAGTGTGGAGATTGAGTCCACGGATCAGAATCGCATGTTTGGAACTATTGCTGTACTACCGCTTTGCGGCACGGCGTTGATCTTCAAACTCGCCTTTACCGTCAAGGATGCACCCGAGATGACCTACGGCCTTAGCGCAGGCTTGGTAGACATGGTCGAGACGTTGGAACTCGTAGGTCTTGCGCGCATGGTATTCGGAGGTTTACTTCTAAGCGGAGTCTGGATCACGTTCGCAGAATGGACACGATCACAGCGGAGAAAGAGACGAGGAAAGCAAGGCAACGGCGGTACGTCATACTCATCACATGTGAAATTGATAAGCCTACTAACAGCACCCCAGAACTCGCCGTCGCCTTCTTCGACCTAACAACGCTCTTCCTGCTCACGCAGACAAAAGCACAAAACATACCCCTCTACTTCCTCTTCCGACTCCAATACTTCTTCCTCAGTAAGCCACCCCATCTGGTCTCCACATCGCCCATCAACCCCGTCTCTCTTCACACAGCGTGCTAACCCCCAACCCCCCACAGCCCTCCTGGACCTCACCCCCACAGCCGCAACCCTAACAACCCTCCTCCTAACCCAAACCTCCTTCTTCGCCCTCGGAAACAGCAACTCAATCTCCTCCATCGACCTCTCAAACTCTTACAACGGTATCTCGGGTTACAACGTCCTCGCCGTCGGTGTACTGGTGTTCTTGTCGAACTGGGCGGGACCTGTGTATTGGTCTTTGGCGGGCATACTCCTGCTGGGTTCTCATGGGCGCACGCAACGCTATATTGATACTAGTGAGCTGCATGTTGCGGATTGGGTGGCAAAGGAAAGGGAGTGGTTGAATGAGCTGGCGCGGAAGGAGGAGAAGGGACGGGAGACGAGGAAAGAAAGGAAGGAGTGGGTGGGGCATGTTGCTTTGTTGACGTTTTGGACGGGGGGTATGTTGGGCGCTGTTATGCTGGCTTGTACGGTGTTGAGGCAGCATCTTTTCATCTGGACGGTGTTTAGTCCCAAGTTCTTGTTCGCGATGGCTTGGGGAATTGCGTGGCATGGTGGTGTCACGCTGGGGCTTGGGGGTCTGGTTTGGTGGTTGGGAAGTTGGTAGTATGATTGTTCAGTTATCGATGTGATCGGGTGCCTACATCAGCGTAACAATTTACTCTTGAGGGCTTCCTGGCGCATTCTCGTCTTCCCACTCATCATCGTTCTCCTCCGCATCATTATCTTCACCCTCGTCTTCTCCAGGCTCCACTCTCTCTTCACTTCCCGGCCTCACCGTCCATCCAAGCGGACTCTGCACTTCCTCTTCCTCCCTTCGCTTCTCTTTTGCTTTCCTTGATTCCGATCTGTGTCTCCTGTCATCCTCGCTCCACCTAATGCCAACCCTGTGACGCGCTCTCTGCCAAGCCTTCCTCGCATGTGCTATCTTTTCCTCCTCATTGTTGAACTTCATCAGGTTGAAGTTGACTCCAAACTCCGAAAATTCACGTGGATCGTACTGCGACAAGTCCAGTGTGAGCTTCTCGCCACAGTATGCGCATTTCGTGTACGACACAGTTGAGGGTTCGTAAGCGGGAATACGAACTGGGCCGGTTGGTCTGACACTCGTATTAGCATTGTAGTTTCCAAACGACTTTTTGGGGGTTGCTGTCCGACGTGGAAAAGGTATACGTACGCGGTAGATGGACCAGCAGTACCCACATGTGGATCCTCTGGATCAGGCATTGTTGTTGTTGTCTCGGCTCCCCTCTCATTCAGTCGACCGCAATACTCGCATCGCCACCTATCCTGCATGTTCCCGGCCTCTGCGCTAGAGATCTTCCGTTCACTGGGCTCCTTCTTCAGGTACGCGTCCTCACGCCATGTATCCGCCACGGGGTTGCGAGGTATACCATGGCCTCGTTTCTGGGTAGGTGAGTCTGGGTCGTGGTAGTCCGGCAGTAAGGATTTTGGAGATCGCGCCCTATCATGGCTGGGGTCGTGCTCGATTTGATCCGGGAGCGTGGAGCTGCGTCTTGGGGGCGGGGGAGTGGGTTGGCGTGGTTGAGTGGATGTGAGTTCGGCGGGTGTCATGGCGGCGAGCCCGGATGAGATGGATGACGTACGGCGGCGCGTGTTGGCGCTGCAGATATAGGTTAGCCGTCATGTTGAGCCAATAGGTGAGTAAGATGGGTAGAAGACTGCTAGGGATGGCCAGATACTTACGCAGCGCTCTCCACTTCATCCACGCTCCTGCGCGGGAACTGTTGCTCACTGGTGCTGGTCTCATGATCTCCATCGCTGCGAGGCGAATACATTAGCGGCATATAAGTAGACAGAAACCCCCATATTGAGTCTAGAAGACTGCATGAAGGATTTCAAGGTCACTCACCTCGCCTCGTCGTCTATGTCGTCGTCTGAGCCCTCTGATGAATCGACCCAGTCGTCGGAGTCTGCATCGCTCATGATGGCGTATTCCGTGTAGTGGGTTGTAGAAAGGAGGACTATGAGAGCGCAATTGCGAGTAAGTCATGTTGGGTGGTGTGGTTCGCGACTGCCAGCGGACATGCCGCACGGTTGTTGTCGTTTCGGTGTCGTGCCTGATTGGGTTTTGGTGTATGAGAAGGTGCAATACAGCTAATAGGAAGCAACGCTCAAAGTTTACCCTGAAGCCGACGTCGTACTCTACGTTGCAATCGGGACAACATGGCGACAATGTCTGCTTCGGGGTAGTTTTCGGTTGTTGGAGGTAAGATACATAACAGACGAGCTCTTTCATACTATGGTATGCGAGAATACAGTGCCTGCCTGTGGCCCTAGCCTCGCGGCTTCTCGATGTATAACATGCTACCACCAACGTAACGATGACATCAAAAATCCGCAACGATGACATCCCAAAATCTATGACGGAGGACAGCAGTACGAATATTACTCAAGCGGAGATGTGTAGAATAATGATAAGGAACAGGGCAGCTCGGACACGTAGGATTATGACGACGATCTTGCCGAATTATGCATTCAAATCTGATGGCTACCTACATGTACACGGGTCATCACAATGGGCGCGCTTTCTGCACCTGAAACCGCATCGTCATGGCTTCGTGATGAGCTAGTACTGCTCAACCGCACGTAGGTTTGACTCCGACCCTCTTTGCTCCGCTTCGTTAGCTGATCAAAACTCATCGTCCCATCGTCTGCGTTCATGGCTCCGGGCAGGTCGTTCATGTGCATCTTCCATTACTTCGTCCTCCTCAGCTTCCTCGTCATCCGGTGGGTGACGATTAGCACCCGCCGCACCTGCATTTGCGCCGCGTCCGCCTCCACCACCCCTCCAATTAAGAGGGTTGAGCATGCCTCCGAAAGCAACAGCTGGTGGCGGTGGTGCGGCTATTACAAGAGGAGCGTGGACAGGAGCGCGTACGGGGGCTTCCACTGGCGCATCCAGACGAGCGTCTGCTTCAGCGATAAGGCGGTTGATCTGCGCAAGAGTCAAGTCTTCAGGAAGCCAATTGCCAGGATCGACAGCAACGTGAACCCGCGCGTGTGGGCAGTCGTCGAGATGCCGGATATCTTTGGTGTACTCAACGAGACACACCCAGCAGAAGTTGTGGCCGCATTGCTCACCTGGAAATGTACGTTAGTATCGGATACAACGGCTGATGTTGACCTTGTCCGAGACTTACATGTCATGTGATCGCATCCACCGTGCTTCTGGATGTTCATACCGCACTTTGGGCATGGTTTGGCACCCATAGTCTTGACAGCCCTCTTGGACAAGTCGTCCTCCGCCTTCTTCGCCTGGTCACACCCGCCTTTCCCATGCGACGTCCATGGGCGATTGCACTTCAAGCAAATTTCGTGTTCGCAGTAGGGGCAGGCGACCCGCTGCTTGCTGCTTTTGGTGTTTTTGCAGTCTTCGATGGAGAAGTATCGACCGCACTTGGCAGAAAGGCAGGCTATGTATGATTCGCCACTAGACAGAGCATGCTTCGTGACGGCTTTATCGTAGCTGGAATGGGTTAGCATATTGATCAATGGTTTTGTTAGTGAATGACTTACTCTTCGAAAGCTGCCTTGCTAACTATAGCCTGGAGAGCTGCATAGTCTAGCGAATAGTCGCATTTGTGGACCGGGCAGCTCAACTCTGCATCCTTGAGTTGACGATCGGCGACCTTTGTCTTGAGCATCTTTGCGACACATAAGTTGCAGATAGTCTGAAGATGTTCGCAAGCATCATTGGGGACCTTGAAAGATCTAGACGTGTCCTTGGTTGTTGCGCAGATTGAGCACTCTTGCTTCTTCGGTCGCTCTTTTTCCTTCGGTGTCGGAAGCTTCTTGCGTGTCTTCGGCTCTGCTTTTGGTTTAACAACAGCACCAGCCTTGACACGAGCGACAGCTTTGGAGTCCTTCTCAAGAGAGGCCTCTGGTGCTTCAGATGAGATAGCTCTAGTTTTCTTGCGAACAGGAAGCTTACGACCGCGCTTTCTGCCGGATGTGGTAGGAGCAGGCGAGGTTCGGGAGCCGGCTTCGGGCTCTGGGGTTTCTTCGATACGAACAGGGTTATTGCGGGTACCTATCGGGCCAGAGGGCTCAGCATAGTTGACACGGCGGTCCGGCCTAGCTCGTAGTCGGGTTGAAGGGGCCATTTTAGCTGTTAGTTAATGCTAGCGGTGGTTAGTATATGATGCAGTGCCAAATATACGGTTAGAAGGTTCTCTTATACGCCCCATAGCGTGTTCCCGAACCCCGCAGTAAAGTCAAGAACCTTTCTAGGCTACTGTAACGGTAGAGCATGTATAAGTTAATAACAAACGGGCAATGAAGCAATGTCGGTCTCGGCGAGTGCGCAAACGCACGTTTACCTCGGTTGGTAGAAGAAAGTCGTAACCGGTGTTCCAATAGTGAGAGAAGTCGCAACCTTTGGGTGGTTAAGAAGGAAAGATATGGGATGGAAGGCCGATGGAACACGGGTCAAGGCCCATCTCTGTCCGGTTACTCAACCCATTACGGTCGACGCGAAGACCATCGTGAACAGGCATCTCGTAACGATTCGTATACCGCCATAGTCCAAAGTGCGTCGTCAATTGTCGCCCTTTGAGAAAGAAGCTCCACGTCCACCATTTGGCTAAATCGACAGTCTCTCCGTAGTGCAACCTTGTTGAGAGGGGTTTTTCGGTAGCTAGACTTCTCTACGCGTATTGCCAGCATGTCGTTGGATGGTTCGTGTGAACGCGCACCATCACGCTGCGCCTGATGGAGGTGAAAGGAGGTCGGAGAAGCGCATGACGTAACGATATTAGCGTGTTCGGAACATCCCGAGCCGGCAGCACATCGCGTGTCGCGCGATTCTGATTCTACAACACCATTCGCGTTCTCGCTAGCCACTCGAACCTCGCACGCGTCAATTCATTCCATACGCCCAGCGCCTGGGTCAAACGAATCGCTCGATCCCCGAATCTCGACCGCGCCATAGCACAACCGAGGAGCCTTACGAACGCGTTGACAGACACCACGAAGCCCCTATATTGGTTGTATACACGTGGACAAGACGGAAACGCGCTTGGACAGCCAATTCGTCATTATAAGAGTCGCTTCATCCGTTTTACATACGTGAAAGCGTCTGTTCCAGATCGTACACATTGTACGGTCATGCAGACTAAGCTTATTCGAAAGGCATCATTCCCCTGGTTCTCACATCTTCATTAAACTGTATAGTTAATCAATTCGCATTCACACTTACAGTATCAACCTCAGCAGGTAGAACAACTCTACTAGCATTCCCCGCCCATCTTCCGCAAGCACTCGCACGCTTGATTTTGGCCCAACAACTCTATACATCGCATTAACTCGGTGTTATCCTTTTATATGTCTAACCTGTTCGTATGAGCTCAACCTCATAGACTTCTTCGCAGATCGTAACGCTCCCTGGCCCACGTCGCCCACCCTCTGGATCCGTCCACCTCAATTCGACCGTCTCTTCCGCTCTTCCAACGTACTGAGGTGATCATTCGCCGCATGCTTTCGTCAATCTTATCGGTGGATATAGCAGAAACCCATATTATTCTTTCCATATGGCCTAAGATGACCGACTTCGTGGTTCGGGATATGATTAGGGTCATGAAATTTTGGTGCCAAGCTTCAAGATGGGATAATACGGAACGCTCGATCAAGTAACCTAGTGTAAGACGATCATCGCCTATTAGACGGTGTATCGCTCTTTCGCGTTGCCTCCATCCGTGTCGTGTGGTTGGCTCAAGTAAGCCCGGGATTATTGGTAACGCGGCGAACAGATCGACGTAGATGTGGCGTGGAGTCGAGAAGCTTTGCATGCTGCTTTCTTCAGAGGTTGTAGAGCGAAGCGCAGACATGCGAGAAGCGAGTAAGTGTAGACTTTTTGGCGATTTGAATCTCACTTCTCTATGCCTGGTGAGAGTGTGGATGATCTCTTCCCGGAGCGCTTTGCAGCAGCACAGAAGTGGCAAAGGCTTCGTGTCGCAAACTGGTGCCGCGTAGACGATGGGACTGCCGTGAACATAAAGCCATATCTGTTCTCGAAGTTCCAGCGGCAATACACCGAAGTTACCCAAACTGTGTTGAACCGATCGACGACATAGACGAAAAGTTGCTCTCACGAATGAGAGAATTCGCAAGTATAACATACTGTGTTGAAGCGTTGTCGGGTCCAGGGCTAATGCGAGACGGTCCATGTCGTTGTGCGAAGAACACATTTTAGTAGAGTCCAGAGCTGATGCGCGACGGTCCATGTCCATTGTTGTAGAGTCCAAGGCTGATGCGAGACGGTCCATGTCGTTATGCGAAGGACTCATTGTTGTAGAGTATAATCCATTGATATGGAGAGATTGGGGTGAAGGGTTATAGCAGGAGCCTGACGGAGTACCAGCTTAGGGAGTTTCGCAACCATGGTTGTTGATGCTTCGCTTAGTTCCACTCGGATTGCGGTTGTGAACAAGGCTGCCGCTCAGTTCGCTCGCCAAAGTCTAGGCAGCGATATCAATTACGGTACATGAGTAGGCCCTGCAAATATAATCCATGGGCTAACCTCAACTCTACACGAACATTCTGATGTATAGCAGTTGCCGCATCGAATGGCAGATCACTCGCAGCCTCCTCGCGCGATCGGGCTGGCATGTAGGGAGTTGCTCTGTACAGCGCGATTTGCTGTAAGTGCCTGCTTCTCGTCCAATAAGATAGTTCGCCTATATTGGGTGGCTGTTTACGGTCACCGGACCTTGGCGGCTGCGCCTCAACTGTGCTGTTCCCCACCATCATGGCTGACATCGATATACGCGATAAACTAACTACACCTGACTCACTCATCAATTCACCGAGGACACACTCGGGTAGGTAGCGCTTTGCGACACCGTCCCTTATCAGACGCCTCAGGCCACGCTCGCCAACTACGTTGTTTACATGCGTCTGCTCCAGATCAGCAGTGATGGCGACCTCAGTCTCGTCGAATACTTCGGAAACGACATTCCTCCATACGCCATTCTGTCGCACACATGGGGTGCTGACGACGATGAGATCTCTTACAAGGACGTCAAAAAGGGCCGCGCAAGGAGCAAACTATCCGGTTATCGCAAAGTCCGCTTTTGTGGAGAGCAAGCTCTAAGAGACGGTATTCATTTCTTCTGGGTCGATACATGCTGCATCAAACAAGAGAGTAGCCAGGAGGTCGGTGAGGCCATCAACTCCATGTACCGATGGTACCACGATGCTGTCACTTGCTATGTCTATCTTGCCGATGTCACTGTTTGGACAGTTAACACGTTTGCAAATCCATATGTACCCATCCAATCAGGTCCTCTCGAAAAAAGAGAAGTATCGTCAACACAAGAGCTTAACACGCTTGCGGACATAGTGTCTGTGTCAGAATTCTACCCAGCCTTTCGAAGCAGCAGGTGGTTTACTCGAGGCTGGACACTCCAGGAACTCCTTGCGCCTGTATCTGTCGAATTCTACTCCAAGCACGGTTATCGACTGGGAGATCGGACCACACTCGTCCAACAGATTCAGTTGAGCACTGGTATTGCTGAGGCCGCTCTACGTGGAAGCCCGCTGTCAAGTTTCACAGTTGAAGAACGAATTTCGTGGGCACGGGAACGCATCACTAAGCGGGAAGAGGATGCAGCATACTCGTTGCTTGGGCTCTTCGATATTCATATGCCTCTCATATATGGAGAAGGACGGAGGAATGCGCTGAAAAGATTGCAGAGAGAAATCGTCAAAGCTTCAAGAGAAGAGCTACCTTCTCCAATGCTGAGCTTATCTTCTGTAGACGCTTCCAGCGACACAACTCCACGCCCGAACAGTATTTCGACCGTGGTCGTCTCAGGCCCCATCGAATATGCTAGAACGAGAGGTGCAAGTACAGGGCATTCCGTTCCTCGAGTCCCAACGTTGGATGCAGTGCCCAATCTGCATTTCGTATTCAGGATTGACGAGATCAGAACTGAATCTGTTCAAATCATTCCGGGGGTGGGAGAAACTGGGAAGTACATGCGTGTCAGCGAGGGTATTACAGGGAGATGGTGGACATGTGGGTCAAGCATACGTCAGGTGGAAGGGATGCCTGCTTCGTATAGGCCGTTTGACATAAGTTCCGTTTGGTACACCACGGGACTATATTCTGTAGCGCAAGGTGGTAAGCCAATCTCTCCACATTGTAGAGCTGGTCTGTGTGTCCTAGTACAATACGTTACGCGGGTCTCTTATCCCAACGATATATCTTCCTTCGGTATTACAATGACTACGCTGACTTTTGACATTCCAGATGTAACTTGCCCGCCTAGAGAAGACGGGGTAGAATGGCACGGTCTCAGATTCCTTCATAATAATGAAGACTTCTCGTCCAGTCTCCACATACATGGAACACACCCGACATTAAGATGCCATCGAGATGGCTCCAGCTGGCCTTCGAGCCTCTTACCAAACAGATACCATGGGCCTCTTGACACATCTAAACGATACGGCGGCCTAAGAGGTAGTCTGTCCATATTGCTTGCCCTCTTGGCTCTTTCGATCAGACCGGAACAACTCCAAGAGCTTTTTCCAAAATTGCAGAACAATGGCCAGTGGACATGGCCTAAGAATCAGGACGGAAGTATGTTCAAAAGTATTATCGTAGGTTACTCCAGCAGTTAACGACCACACAGGGACTTGGAAGCGTGGTGTTGTTGTGACCGTCTACTGTGGCACTGAGCCAGGTAGTACGTTTGAAGAGTTACGAGCTTATGAGAGCGGGCGATACGGAAATTATTTCGATTGAGGATATGGACATTTCACATGTACAGCTATATTGCAGCCTACCGTTTATGGTGCTTCACACTATTTTGAACGCTCGTTCAGGTAAAGTGCGCCTACTTGTGGTGTTCCTGTAGCGCATTCATCGCCTCACCGGCGGGCCGTTTGTTGCTCGATCCTCTTGTTACTTACAAGCGCTCCCTTAGCGATGTGAGGTACAGAAAGCGGAAGGTCATTTATGGCTTCTGCACTGACAGAGTCTTCGCCTACATACTTCGGCAGTCATGATGCGCAAGGCTGCCCAGGTGTAACATTCCCACCTGCAGGCAGCAATCTCTGAAAGAGCTCGTCGACGCTAAGAATTGCAGTGCAATGCCGTATT